AAAATAGGGCTGGGGATGTGGCTCAGTGGTTGAGTGCCCCTAAGTTCAATCCTCAGTACCAAAATAACAAAAACAAAAAACTAAATGAAAACGCATTCTAATAATTTTTCAGAATAGGGCAAAACCTGTATGTATGGGGTGGGGCAGGGGATTTCTGTGACTTAAGCAGCAGCATTCTCTGGAAAGCATATTCTCAAGCAAATTGTTACACGTAGCAGGTGACAATGGGAGAGTGCCAAGGCACCAACAGTAAGGTCTGTAGGAGATACAGCAGCTCTGGTGTTCAGCCATATACAAACACTAAAATCAATGCTCCCTTTCCAGAACGAAGTCCCACACCAAGGAGAAAGTATTGGACCTAAATCCAATCCCAGGAAGACAAGAATAACAAGAGCAAAGAAAAGATACAGATAAAAGTGAGGAAGAACATAACTGGAGCTCAGAAAATGGAAGACTTTTTCTCTTTTTTGGGGGTGGGGAGTGGGGGAGGGCGCCTTAACTAGGGATTAAACTCAGCTACATCCCCAGCCTTATTTAAAGACAAGGTCTGAGGGCTGGGGATGTGGCTCAAGCGGTAGTGCACTCGCCTGGCATGTGTGTGGCCCGGGTTCGATCCTCAGCACCACATACAAACAAAGATGTTGTGTCTGCCGAAAACTAAAAAATAAATATTAAAATTCTCTCTCTTTCTCCCTCTCTTCTCTCACTCTCTCTCTTAAAAAAAAATAAATAAATAAAGACAAGGTCTGAGTTGCTTAACATCTCAATGTTTCTGAGGCTGGCTTTGAACTTGCAATTCTCCTGCCTCAGCCTCCTGAGCTGCTGGGATTATAGGCATGTGTACCACACCTAGCAAGAGACCTTTTCTTTTTAAACAGCTTTATTGAGATATTTGTCCATATTTTTAAACACTATCAAAAACAACAAAAGTTTTAAACCTGCAAATCTAGAAAACTATTCTAACCCATGCTTTCCCATTTAAAGTTCAGAAAGATATATTTCATCTAAAAATGAATAGTAGTAAAGGTCCTAATCAAATCCCATAGAAAGTAATTAGGGATGGATGAGGCTGGGGCTGGGGTTCAGTGGCAGAGCACTTGCCTAGCATGTGTGAAGCCCTGGGTTTGATCCTCAGCACCATATAAAGATAAATAAATAAAGGCATTGTGCCCATCTACAACTAAAAAAAAAAAAAAAAGATTCAAAAAAAGAAGAAAGTAATTAGGGATGGAGATGGGGAAGCAGAATAATATTCCCACAGGAGGATTGCAACATCCAGCTTGGCAACTTAGCTACACCCTGTCTTAAACCTTAAAAAAAAAAAATTTTATATATATATATATGTCACATTGATGAATGTTAGCATCGCAAAGATAAAAGTTATAATATATATATTAAAACTACATTTTTGGGGATTTTTTTGGTGTGTGTGTGTTTGTGTGTGTGACTGAACCCAGGGGCACTTAACAACTGAGCCCTTTTTATTTTTTGAGACAGGGTCTCACTAAATTGCTCAGGGCTTCGCTAATTTGCTAAAGCTGGCTTTGTACTGGAATCCTCCTGCCTCAGCCTTCCCAGACCCTGGGATTATGGGCATATGCCACAGCGCCAACTGATTTTCTTTTTTGAGATACAGTATGACTATGTTGTTGGCCAGGCTGACTTCAAATTCCTGGTCAAGCAATTCTTCAGCATCAGCTCCTGAGTAGCTGGCTGAAACCACAAGAACTGGCTAACAGAGCAAGCAAAACTACTGATTTTTTTTGTGGGTGGGGTGGGGTGGGAGTTGAAAAAGAGAGGGTTTACTGGGAATCAAACTCAGGGGCACTTTACCAGTAAGCTATATTTTTTATTTTTTTATTTTTGAAACAGTGTCTCATCAAGTTCCTTGGGGCCTCACTAAATTGCTCAGGCTAGCTCTGCACTTTTGATCCTCCTGCTGCCTCAGCCTCTAGAGCTCCTGGGATTATATCCTGTGCCACTATGCCCAGGGAAAGTGCTGATTTTTTAAGGAAAATCACTTTTTAAAAAGTCAGATTGGCAACTGACTTTTTATACCAATGTATTATTCCAAAAACAATGGGATAACATTTTAAGATACTAAAGAAAAAGAATCTTTTAAAAGATATTTTTTTATTTTTTAGTTGCTGTTGGATACAATATCCTTAATTAATTAATTTTTAATTAATTTTTCGTCATGCTGAGGATCGAACCCAGGGCCTCACCTGAGCTAGTCGAGCGCTCTATCGCTGAGCCACAACCCTAGCCCCAAGAAAAGAAAATTTGAACCAAGAATTTTATGACTAGCCAAAATAACTTTCAAGTATAAAGTTACAAACAAGCTATTATCAACAAGTTATATAATTTTCATAAGACCTTTCTCAGGAATCTTCTAAGTACCAAGTTACACACAACAAAAATGACTAGAGAGACATTGACATAGGAATGTCGCACTGATGAATGTTAGCATCACAAAGATAAAAGGAACTAGAAATCATACACCTTCTGTAAGAAGTAAACCTATGAAGTATTTTTTGCTCTAATTTAAAAACCAGGTTTCAGAAAGTATAAAAAAACAGAGAAACAAGTTAAATAACATCATAAGGAAGCAGTATTCCAGACTTATAGAAACTTGGTTTCATAAACAGCAAAAACTACAAGGAAGAATAGATACAGGAGAAACTGACATATTAAACATGATATAATAAAATCACATAATGTAAGAATCTTATCTGGATCCAGAGTCAAGAAAACAATAAAAAAAGCATTCATAGGGCAGTTGAAAATTTGAACCCAACTGGCATTTGAAAGTATTAATTACTGTTAATTTTGTTAATGATAACAGCATGTGGGGCTTGTTTTTGTTGTGGTAGTTTTTGTGTATATGTGCATGAACCCAAGGCCTCCCACATGCTAGGCAGGTGCTCTACCACTGAACTATACCCCAAGCCTTTTTTTTTTT